ACAAAATTCCACAATAACTCATTTGAGAAGGGTCAAGAGGCCCCTACATTCACTAATTAAGAGACGAGTAGTCCATGGGTTTTGGCATCGGCCTAATACAGAGTCAACTATCGATAAGCTATCACTTTGTAGGACCACTTGCAGATCAAGAGTATCTCCCCGCCAATCACTTCCCCTTTTGTTCAGAACCGAACGTGTGCCTAGCTTCCTTTCTTCAGTCAAAAACCGAAGTGCTTCTCGCAGAGCTAGGGTTTCAGCTAACTCGGCCGAATCAGCCTGAATTTTCTTCACGAACCCAGTAATTGGCACTCCATGAGTGTCTCGACAGATGCCAGCGATTGAAGCCTCCGAGGAGCTATTAATCCACGATCCGTCAACATTCATCTTCAAAAGGCCTTTTCCCGGCGGCATACACCCCATCGGTAAATCACCCGTCTTCTTTATTAAACTCTTGGGTATTTGAGACTGTAGCACGACACTCTTCTACAGGGCGAGGGCTTCGTCCACGATTGTACCTGGATTTGGGTTGCGACCTTGAAAAACATAGGAATTTCGAGCTTTCCATATCAACCAAAGTATACCAGCTATCAATTCTCTCGGAGGTGCATTAAATCCTACTGTCATAGCCTTAAGAATCCATTTGTCCATTCTTGTGATGTTTCTCGGGGATGTGTTGATCTTTATTCTTGAATCTGTCCATATAGCCTTGGTCCACTCGCACAAAATGAACAGATGTTCAACTATTTCTGGAGCTTGTTGACATAACGGGCAAATCTGAATAGGTAACAGCTTACGTTTATGCAAATTGTCCTTTGTGGGTAGTGCGTTTTGACACACACTCCACAAAAGGAATCGTATTTTAGGAGAAGAATGCAGCTGCCAAATAGTATTCCATAGAACACGAGGAGGCTGATAGGATGATGTCGCTTGTATTGTATTTGGTACTTTGCTCATTGATTGAATGATATTGTATCCACTCTTAACCATGAAGGATCCATCCCTGTTTCCTGTCCAGATAAGCTGGTCCTTGCTCGAATTGGAGTATGGAGGGATAGTTAAAATTTGCTGTACCATGCGTTCTTGAAAGAGCACTTCCAACTTTTGTATGTTCCAGACCTTTGCTTCATGATCAATAAGCTCCGTCACCATTTTAGGATCTTCCCTATTCGCTGGGCCACCTATAACACCAGCTGAAAGCCACTTGTCCTCGCGAATATCGATACTCTTCCCATCACCAACCACCCATTTTATATTCTGGCTAATTGCATCTCTCCCCAATATCAAGCTTTGCCACCCCCAAGATAGACGAGAACCTTTGCTAGCATTCCAGATTTTAACTTCAGGAAAGTAAATTCCTTTTAGGATTCGACTCCATAATGCTGAAGGGGATTGTGCTAGTCTCCAAGCTTGCTTACCCATCATGCCCCTATTAAAATCAACGAGGTCTTTGAAGCCAAGTCCACCATTATCCTTCCTTGTTTTCAATACTTCCCATCTCTTCCAATGAACTCCCGATTTAGAGGCGTTTTGTTTCCACCAAAAGGAAGCAACTTTCCGTTCGATTGCTTTACAAATAGAAATAGGAATTTTAAATATAGACATGGCATATTGGGGTAGCGCCTGAACCACCATTTTGATCAACACCTCTTTGCCAGCTTTCGTCAACAACTTCTCTTTCCATCCCTCTAACTTCATATTAACTCTCGCTAGGATCCAAGCAAACATTTCTTTCTTTGACCGACCCCAGTCCGAAGGAATTCCTAAATATTTCCCCGTCTTCTCGATGATTGGGACTCTCAATTCATTCGCCATGTTACTCTTTAGATTCTGGGGACAACCATTGCTGAAGTAAATTCCAGACTTGTTTAGATTGATGGCTTGACCTGAGGCAAAGCAATATTGATTCAACAAATTCGCCATAGTTTGACACTTTGTGATAGGGCAATATATGCATCATCCGCTTGACCTGAGGCAAAGCAATACTGATTCAACAAATCCAAGAAGAAAATCGCATCATCCGCGAACAACATATGAGAAAGTATAGGGCAATATCTATTCAATTTTATCCCCTTTAAACTCCCATCCGCAATTGCTTGGGTTAATAAATAGGAAAGCACGTTCGCCATGATTATGAACAGGTATGGTGATAATGGATCTCCTTGCCTAATGCCTCGGGTTGGGTGGAAGTAAGGCAACGGTTCCCCATTAACCTTCACACTAAAAGTAACTGTGGAGATACATTGTTTTACCAAAGAAACCCATCTTTCACATAATCCAATCCTCAGCATACATGCACATAGAAAATCCCATTCCACTCGGTCATATGCCTTCTGCATATCCAATTTAAGAAGCGCCTGAAATTTTCTTTTCCTTTTGCGTATTCTCAGTTGATGTAAAACCTCCTGAACTAGAAACATATTATCCTGTATTTGCCTACCACTCACAAAGGCACTTTGCTCCATGGTAATGAGGTTAGGAAGCCAAGGTTTTAGGCGATTCGCCATAACCTTAGAAATAATCTTGTAGCTAAAGTTACAAAGACTTATAGGCCTGAACTGAGAAATACACTCCGGGTTTGAAACTTTAGGAATGAGAGTAATATGAGTTCTATTGAGAGAAGGATCAAGAGTACCCGAAACAAAGAAGTTGGAGACCATTTGAAACACATCCTGTTGTATAAACTCCCAATGATGGCGATAGAATTGTCCATTAAGTCCATCCGGCCCTGGTGCCTTCACTGCTCCCATTTGGAAGACTGCCTCTCTTACTTCCTCTAATGTAACTGGAGCCATTAAAGAGCCATTCATATCAGCCCCTACTAAAGCAGGGCATACCTCGAGGATAGGCTGAAAATTTCTAGGGCCCACAGTGTCATAAAGTGATTGATAGAACTCATTTATATGCCTCTTTATCTCCCCTGGATCCCGGCACCAAGTTTGCGCATCAATTTTCAGCAAAGAAATTCTATTTCTTTGTCTTCTCTGAATGCTAGTTGCACGAAAGAACTTTGTATTCTTATCTCCCCACTTAAGCCAATCGATGCGCGATCTCATGCCCCAATACAATTCTTCTTGCCTCCATAGTTTTTCAATACGTTCAATGATTTGCTAAGTGCTCGCCTTACTCGAACCCATCTCTGTACTATTGGTAAATTCAGTGAGTCTCCCTCGTAACATCGCAATTTATTTGGAAGCATTAGAGAACTTCTTTCGACTCTATTCTACCAAGGCCTGTGAAACCCTCTTCGATTTACTCACAATATCCTCTCAGGGATTGTTTTGTATATTCCACGCTTTCCTCACTATCTCACTACAGTCAAGCTCCTCCAACCAGAAAGCTTCAAACTTAAATTCTTTCTTTCTTTTAGTCCAAGATGAGTACACTGAGAGCAATAATGGACTGTGGTCGGAGCCAATTGCTGGCAATGCTTAGGCTTCCGCAGTAGGAAATAACACTCTCCAATCCAAATTACATAGCACCCTATCCAGCTGTTTTTTTAACCAAAGCGTCACCCTCTCTGTTGTTGGCCCAAGTAAATGCACAACCCTTGCTTTCAATGTCCATAAGTGAGCAATCGTGCAAGAAGTCGCAGAAGGCAGCGAGCCTATAATGATCCTTTGTTCTTCTCCCTACCTTCTCCCAATTATATAGAACTTCATTGAAGTCTCCAATACAAAGCCAAGGTAGATTATTAATAGAGGAAATGATGCGTAATTGCTGCCACAGGAGAAGCCTCTCCTGATAATTGGTAGGAGCATGCAAAAAAGTAATTCTCATCCTTCTACCATTGCCATGATCTTTGCAAGTTACATCAATGAATATCTTCGAGCTATTCTCTACTTCAACAGCCACCTCATCGTTCCACATGATTACTAGTCCTCCAGCAATACCAACTGGGTTTATTATCGCTGAATTCTGAAAATGAAGCCGTCTCCTGGTTCTTTCCACAGCAGGTTCTTGATTTTTCATTTCCATTAGAAAAATTAAACTGGGCTTTTCAAGAGCCACTAAGGCTCGAAGATGCTGGAATGTTAGGGGAGTGCCCAAACCCTGACAATTCCAGCTCAAAATCTTCATATATACCCTGGTGGCTTATTAGAGCTAGCCACCAAAGCCCACTCATTCACACCATTCACAACCCTGTAAAAGAGCATAAGTCCACTATTCTCTATTTTGTTGACTTTTCAATGCATTTTCTATTTTTTTTCTTGGTCCAAAAATCCAAATATTACATGAACAGATGATGTTGGTTGTCTTGAATCTCACTGTTTTACCCCCTATTTCAGAGACACAGTGCCTGATTACTTACCCTTCTTGGGCAAGTGGTCGAATTTCACTGCTGAAGTGAAGCAGGGGTCGGGTGGAGATGGACGGAGTGAAAGAGAGTGAAGATTTCTGGAGTGGTTGCTTGAAGAGCATGGACGTAAAAGAGAACAGAATGTCAAGTTCATACTAGGAAAATAAGAAAAAGAAAAACAAAAGAAAAGAAAGAACAAAGAGAAAATATTATAAATCTTAAGGGTGTCAATGGTCGGGTCAGGTATTCTGGATACTCGGCTGGCCTGATCCGAAATGAAGGCATGAAGGACCCGACTTGTATATATCCCAATCCGCAGGCCGAGCCGGGTTGGGTCAGACTGGGTCACATTTCGATTTTCAAGTTTGTTTGTTTGTTTGTTTTTTTTTTATATATTTTATCCGTACTATTGCTATCAAATAAAATCTCAATAGCTATATTTATTGAGAACTTAAATATCAAAAACCAAAATCAACATGGTGATCAACTCGTGAATGAAAAGGCTCGTCAATGATGATAGTCTAGAAATCCGCAATTCCCCAAAAACAGCTCACCTTGACACGCACCCGCACAACATACATGGACACCCACATAACTCAAATAAGTATGAAGACAGAATCAAAAAGTACGATTACATAACCATAGAAGCATCATCAACCAATGAATGAACTTTCTTATGATCTATATTCACTTAAACCCACGATTTCATCAATTTCTACAAATGATAATGAGAGGAAAGAAAATTAAGATAAAGTCTGAACTTGGATTCTAAACATTGCACTTCCCCCAAATAACAAGGACTTTCAGAGGAAGTTGCAGGATACGAGGCAACTGAACGCCACCAAAAGTGGCTACAAAGGTCTAATCCTGTGAGTACCCAATCAAATCTTCACAACTTGTCCACGCTTCAGCCCGTAATACCTTGCTACTGGATCTGTCACCTGAATACGGGACAACTGAACACCACCAAATGAGACATACGAGCAGCAAGATTAATCAGACATATTTCCGTAATCACCACACTCAACAAATCATCAAATGTGCATTGCAATCAATTGCTACAACCCATATTTTAGTTTTATCCACTATGTAAATCCCTAGCGTAACATGACCTTCCTCATCCATAATGGCGGGTCAACACTGCAATCATTAATCAATTTCACCAAAACAAATAATGCATAAAAGATCCATTATTACCATCAGTTGTAGCATTCTGGAACCAACTCACCAAATCGTGAAACGAAATAAGGGAAAAGACCTTAATCACCAAAACGGAAGGTGATTTATGGAATATGAATGCTGTCATGAATTGGAGTTGTATTGAAATCTTGGAGCCATGAGCTGCCCTAGATGGACTGTTTAATTCTACGAAGGATCATCATAAAAAAAAGAGAGTAGGTTCTCAATTCTAAAGATTACCATATATACAAAAAAAACCGCATCCCCTTTCTTCACAATCATATCATAGCTTCCACATAACTAATCATGTTTTCAGATTTTGGGAGAGATTATTCTTATCTATATCATAATCACTAGAAGTGAAATTTAGAACATTTCACGCTTCTTCCTTTGTTGTAAATTGCAAAAAATGACATATAACATCGACAAAATTAGCCCTAACTCGCGTTCCCGAGTGGTCCTTCCAGGAGATTTTGCCAATATAAATCACAATGGTATGTTCAGACTAACAATACAACCTATGAAAAATATTTGCGAAATATAACAAGTTCAACTTCAAACATTGGCAGAAACAGTTTGTAGAAATCAGGTGCATGTGCTCCTGTTTGACAAATCATGATGATAAGGAACATGCAATGCTAATACCGAAGAAATAGAAGATTCACAAGCAAATATATAGTGGTTCGGCTTTATCTCCAAGTCTACATTCACTCTCAAGACTAATAGTCGTAATACGGGCTGGATTGTACTAGAAATCTTCCCAACAAGTTATGATTGACAAGTACTGATCATTTATAAATGATAGATCATACTATCATGACTCAACTACTGGCACTTACTTTTGTATACTTGATTTTTCACATAATTACTATACGGCAAGACTATCACAGTGAAGATTTTTCGAGAAAACAAAACAATATCAACAGGGAAAGCAACTCAGAGCAAACATTCGAATTACACATTACACTACTCTCTAACATTTTAGTCTAGAAACTCTTCTCTTAAATAGCCATCTTCAATCTTCCCATTGGAGATTCTTTAGAAGATCAACTAGCCATTAGAGATTCGTTGGTGCTGCCCTCCAGAGATGGTGCTGGCCATATAGTATTTTATCTTGAATATTTGTAGATTATCCGGAAATAGGTCTTGCAGCAACTGTCCCGACGCTGACTTCTATGACAATTCTGATAGACGCTTGTTCCTGTTCCCAAAAGACTTCTTGATCTTCTGTTGTGTAACTCCACCCTTCAACTGCTATAATCTCAAACATCCTCACATGATCATTATTCAAACGTCACCAATGACATGATATCTCAGCATCAACACAAACATCGTCATCAGTTGATCTTTAAGTCCGTCGGTGCCGTTTACGGAAAATTGGTGATGATTTGCGATCAATTATCCAATGATCCTCTTGAGTATCTTAGTGTCCAAAGACGTCACCTTGATGAAAGATTGACCATGATATTTCCAAGTCATCATGAACATCTCGTCATCTTTGCCTTGTTCTCCTCCTTGTTAAGATCCTCATCCTTTGTACCTAGTCTTCGCTAAACTCACAAAGGTCATTAATATTATCATAGTCTTCCATTTGGTAGCTGCTCTTTGCCAATGATATGCTGCTCTGATAACAATTAACGATGCTGATCTTTTCGCTCCTTCCAAGTATATTGACAATTTCGACTCTACCAAGCTGTTTATCTTCACGGTCCTTCCAAGATTTACCAAATGTCATCGTTCTAGACTTGTTCACCATCACTAGGTCCATCCAACTATGCACCCGATTTTTGTATCTCTAAGTTATCACGAACATCCATGTTCTTTTTTGCTTTTTCACCCTCGATCAAGATCCCTCCAGATGTTCACATTATCTGAAGATTCTTTCAGCTTGTAGACATTTTCAATGCCCAAATATATTGTTCACCTTATATATCGGCAGAGCATTCTAGACGGTGGCAGAGCACTTCTCATATCAAAATCTTCTGGTGTAGTTTATAACAAACATCTGCATCTCGGCTTGTGCATATATCACTTGGTACTACTCAATCAATATACACATTAGCCGTCTTTGATTGTCTTTGTCATTATCAAAACAACCTAGGAGATTTTCCCAACATGGTATATGTAAAACAACCTCAGTGAATGAGCTAGGGCACGAGAAAAAGATGTTGGGAAGAGAACATACAATAAATGCTAAAAATGCAGAGGAATTTGATTGTGGAACACTATGATTCTTTGTGATTCTCACACAAAGCATAATGCATTTTCATTCACAATTTGTTTGGTGGGTCACTCAAGTGAAAAAAATAAGCAAACTTTTTTGGGCATCAACTAGAGTTGAAGATATGTCATCAAGAGACAGGCATCACTGTGAGCATTTCGTCCTATAGTTTATTATCTAACGAAACAGAGCCGACCCAACCCAAATGAGAACACCCACCCAAATGTCAGTCGTTGACCTTCCTTGGTTGGTTTTTGGAAATATATGTGAAAAATATCCCAGTATCAATTTGTATTACGCTTTGGATTGAGGGAGCAGAATGGAAATCGATGCCTCCAAAGCCAAAAACTTACCAGAACCCTAGATAACTGATTGAAGATGGACGAATCAATTAATTGGATCTGAACCATTTCAATGTCCAATTCTTGAAAGCACTGTATTTCATAAATCACCAAATGCTCGATCCTGGATTCTTTTCAATGAAAATAAAAAATCAAAGAACAATATTATTACAGAGAGAGAGAGCAACGTGAATGGAAAGAGGGAGTCCAACGTCAGCATCATTACCACTGCGAGAGAATGAGGGCGATTCGCGGCAAGCGGAGGGGTGATCGGGTTCATCGCTGATCAGTTGAACTTAGATCTAGGGTTTCATCGCGCTCAAAGAGAGAGAGAGAGAGAGAGAGAGAGAGAGAGAGAGAGAGAGAGAGAGTTGTGTTCCGCGTAGGATTATAACCTGACCCTACCCCAACCTTAATAATACCTATGCCTGAAAACGCTTAGTCGAAGAAGACGGAGACTCGACCCCCAAAAAATCCAAAATTTTGGGGTAGGGTAGGGTCGGGCCAGGCCTTTTTGATACCCCTTATAATGCTATGACTGCATGCAAATACTATGGATACGAATACTGAAGAATGAAGACACACTGATATTGTTTAGAGTGCACCGCGCATAGTATACGGGCAAATCAATTAGCTACAAAAGATCCTAATATTAAAGAATACTTTCCTCGACTTGTTTTATTTCCTAAGGGATTCCAAATAATCTTATAACCGAATTGTTTATCTCTTCGTAAAGAGCAGCATCAATTAAGTTGGGCTTCTCTCCACACTAACTCTTCGCCATAACAATTATTAGTTACTTCTTTTTTTCCAAGAAATGTAATTATTGCTAAACAAGTCACTTCACTAATCGGATGAAAATTTCTTTAGTCATTTGAAAAAAGTGAATACTTAGATTTTTTTTATGGTTTACACAGCACGAGGGAGATTTAGTAGGCAGTTTTTTCAGAGATAGATTTACACAAGCACCGAGTATAGTATTAAGCCGATGGGGCTTCCGAGAATTTAAGCACCGATTATATTGAAAAAGCATATCTTAAAATCATTTTGCTTAAAAGTAGATTTTCTAATAATCATAAGCATTTTCAAAACATAAATTTTGAGTCCTTTCAAGAAATTTGAATATCAATGGTTGGGACAAAGTCCACCTTTTGTCATCATATAAATTTTCAAATATATCTCGTGGTCAGCATGCACTTGGGACACATTTTTGATTGCTCATGATCTTCACAGTGATCTTTCGCTCGGGATGCATGTGTGATCCCTCCTTTTAAAAACTTTTGCGGCGGTCAGCCTGCACTTGAGACGTATCTCCGATCACTCACTCTAAAAATCGTTGATAAACTTGTGCTTGTGACACTTGTTTGATCACCCATTTAAAAAGACCTCCAATCACCTTGCACTTGGAATGCATGCTTGATTGGTCGTTTCAAATCTTTGATTAACTCGTACTTTTCTTTTTAGTCGAAGATTAACTTGTACTTGAGACACGTGTCTTGTCGTCATCTGGAAAGATCTCCAATCAATTTGCAGTTGGGATGCATATTCGACCTTTATTTTAAAAACCTTTGTCGCGGTTAGCATGCATTTTTTTTTTTGGGGTCAAAACGGTTAGCATGCACTTAGGAAGTTGAAAATGACATATTAAAAAAATTATGCACATATTGTTATGACTGTCGAATATGACCTGGTTATTAACATTAACGCATAGCGAATTACATCATGTAATATACTAATTTTATAGGGCCATTTTTTTTATGCTCAATCGGAGGAAATTTTTTCAGATATAGTTTCTGATTCGTGGGTTACAATTATGAATATCCCATCCAAGCGGCGAAAAAAATAGTCTATCATTTTTTTTCATTCGGTGGATGACTTCACAGACCGACGCACAGCATTATATAAGCAAGCAATCTCCTAAAGTACAACATATAAGCTAAAATGAACGCGTCCATGTCCTCCCTTCACATTTGTCTCCTCTCTCTTTCTCTTTTCATCATCTTCGTCTTCCTCCTGAAACACAAAAAGAACCATGCAAGCAACACCGCCACCCACCCGGCACCGCCCGGCCCACAGCGGCTGCCACTCATCGGAAACCTGCACCAGCTCGACCTATCCAGCCCTCACCACCGCCTGCGGCAACTCTCTCAGCTCCACGGCCCACTCATGTCCCTGAAGCTCGGACTCACGCCCGCTCTTGTCATCTCCTCGGCGAAGACAGCGAGAGAGGCCATCAGAGCACATGACCTCGAGTTCTCGAGCAGGCCTTCCTTGGCAGGCCAGTGGAAGCTGTCGTATGGCGGCTTGGACATGGCCTTCGCACCGTATGGCGAGCACTGGAGGCAAATCCGAAGGATCTGCGTGACGAATCTGTTGAACCCCAAAAAGGTCCAATCGTCCCGTCCAATATGCGAGGACGAGGTCTCGAAAATGGTGGAGAGGATCTCCATTTCAGCTGCTGCTTCTCCTTCACAGACAGTCGACCTGAGCGAGACGCTCTTGTCACTCACCGCTTCGATAATCTGCAGAATTGCCTTCGGGAGGAATACCTCGTCGAACCCGAGCCGAGGGCCGATGTTCTTAGGTCGTTGAGGGAAGCTCAGGCTGTGTTGGGGAGCTTCTGTTTCGAGGACTATTTTGGCTGGGTCGGTTCGGTTGTCGATAAGGTGACCGGTTTTTCGTCGAAGTTGCAGAGAGTTTTCGTGGAGTTGGATGCGTTCTACGAGATGATGATTCAAGACCACCTCGACAAGAAGAAGGAAGAAGATCCAGAAGACTTCATTGACGTCTTGTTTCGATTGAGCGAGGATCGGTCGGGTTCGGTGCATGTCAGTAGAGATCACATCAAAGCGGTGCTCATGGTAATCTTCCACGTCTTTCGTAAGGACTCGTATAGATTATGAGGCAATAAAATGATATCCCTAAGAAACACGTACGTTTTTTTTTTTTTAATAATTGGACTAAAAGTCTTAAAATTTATCACGAAAGTGTAATTAAATTCTAAAACTTTTAAAAAGTGCAATAAAATCCTAAAATTTGTCATGAAAGTGCAATAAAGTTCTAAAACATTCAAAAAGTGCAATTAAGTGCTAAATCTTTCAAAAAAGACAGTCAACGATAAGACTTGATTGGATCAATCTGAAAAATTTTAAGACTTAATTGCACTTTTTGAAAGTTTTAGGATTCAATTGCATTTCGTGACAAGTTTTAGGACTTAATAGTACTTTTTGAGAGTTTTAGGATTCCATTGCACTTTCATGACAAGTTTTAGGATTTTCAATGCGTTTTTCCCTTCATTTTTATAAGCGGGATTTAAGGTTATGATACATATCTATTTTCATGTTCAATAGTCACCCATTTAGATTTGTGTCTTGATCTCAAGCCCACCTGTGTAGGAAAAAAAAAACTTACACCGCGAGTTTACCTTATAAAATCAGTAATTAAATAATATTTCTATTAAGTAGTGTGGCAACTTAGAGGTGAAATTTAAGTATGGGAGTCATACTCGGTATCCAAATAGAGTCTGCAGCTTATATTAGGCTAGTTGCCAAATTCTAGTGAAAATACAAGTGCCAAACTCTAATTTAAAATCTAAAACTCATACGATGTTTTCCACTCTAAAATTAATTCCGGGGTGTCATGTAATTACTCAAAAAAAAATTAAAATATTCGCCATACTTTCTGTAATCACAGAAAGCTTTAATTTAAAAACATAACTATATCACAATAAAGCACACATGCATAGAAACAATATAGTTTTTATCTCTTAATATATCTAAGGGAACTTTATATCGTACTTGGTGAAGATAAGACATTAAAATCATCAACAATTAATGAAATTTGTATATATGTTGGAAAAAATTAAAGCATACGCGGCCACTACAAAGAAAGTTTTGCACAAAGCCCTCACCTGCGCTTGATTTGAAAATTATGAATTTATGATTACATACTCTTTCAAATTAAGAGTGTATAAAATTATTTGCGGAAAATTTTTGTACGCCGCCGGAGCATCTTATAATTACTCATTACTATATATATATATATATATATGTTTGGTACAGGATTGATATGACCCTTTATCCAAGATCCTGCATGCACTATCTACTTCTATACTTTTGGAATTTGAAACTTATCATCTGCCCTAGAAATACCCAACACCGGACCCACCCTAGCTTTGTCAGTTTGGATGGTTTCTGCTCCCCGCCCCTTGCATCATGTATAGAGCAGCGGCAGACTAAAGAAGACAAATTCACAAAAGGCATATGCCGTTTTGTCACTTTCGTCCGTTAACGGTGCAACGGGAGTCACACGTTTGATTCTAGAGTTAACTTGGACCGCCATGACTCGAGCATAATTTATTGGTGCTTCAAGTTGCTTAAATTAAGTATTCGAGTTTTAATTTTGACAATTGTATTCATTTTGTTAAATTATGAATATTTTCTTTCATGATTGCAAGTGCAAAAAATGTTTTATAATAGAGATGTTAATAGAAATCCTACAGTCAATTTGTGTTAGAATAAATATGTTTCGACCATTCTTTTTACATTGAATGATATTTTATATTGATGATGTTTTTAGAATAAATAAATAAAATTTAATTTAATTTATTTTTTAATCTAAAAAATCCCAATTAAGATTCGCATTTCTCAAGAAAATCGGACAAACAATTTCATTGAGACAACTTGTGGTGGGTGGAGCACTCTTAGGGCCCGTTTGGTAACGTGCCAAATAGTGAAAATTTCTGTTCTTTTGTTCCCAGAAATAGTTTGGGAACAGAAATGCGTTTGGTAAACTTTTTGTTCCTGGGCACATTTTTGCAAAAATTTGTGCCGAGAAACAGTTTTGGAAGAGAAACAAGAAGTAAAAAAAAGCTGCTTCTTGTTTCTCGGCACAATTTTGAGAATCAGTTTTTTTTCTTTTTTTTCTTTTCTTATTTTTGTGTTGTTCTTCCCTGGCTGGGCTGGCCGCCGGCGACCGGCGGCCGGCTACAGCCCAGGGCCGGTGAGGGCGTCACGGCCCTCGCCGGCCACCGGCGGAGGCGAGGGTCGCCCTCGCCGCCCGGGCGAGGCCGCCTCGCCCGGATCGAGCGAGGCCGAGCCTCGCCGTCGGTCGCGACGGCGAGGTCGGCTCGCCCGCAGACGGCGAGGCTCGGCCTCGCCCAGCGGCGAGGGTCCGGCCTTCGCCCTCGCCGGCGAGGGTGACCCTCGCCTCCGCCGGCGGCCGGCGAGGGCCGTGACGCCCTCGCCAGCCCTGGGCTGTGGCCGGTCGCCGGCGACCGGCCATGGCCAAAGAAGAAAATGAATAAAAAGAAAAAAAAAATTAAACAATTCAAAATATTATTAAAATATTATTTGGGAACAGAAATTTTGTGTAGTTACCAAACGCATTTCTGTTCTTTTCTACTCTAGGAATAGAAATTTTGGACAGTTTATCAAACGCCTTCAAATACTCAGAAATTATTTCCGGGCACAGAATAAAAAAAAATCATTTCTGTTCAGAAATAACTCCGGGGCACAGAATGGTATTCATGCGCACCCTTACTCTCCAAGGAGTAACCGAGTTGTCACCTTCTCATTTTCTTTCACAAAATTAATTTATTAATTAATGTGTCATAATGTAAATGCCATAACAAGTCATTCGACTTGGTAATTGTTTTTCACAGATAGATACTAAATATTATAGATTCTACTAGTATATTTCCTTTAGTGATTAAGGGTCTGTTTAGTAACGTTTCTGTTTTTTTGTTTTTCTATTCTTTTGTTCCCCGGAACAGAAAAAGAACAGAAATCCGTTTAGTAAAAAAAATCTGTTTTTTTGTTTCTGGAACAAAAAAGTGTTCCTGAAATAGATTTGGAACAGAAACAAGAAGTAAAAAAAATCTGCTTCTTGTTTCTGGAACAAGAAAAAAGAAACGATTTTTTTTCTGGAATCCTCCAAAAACAAGAAACAATCCATTGGCCGCAACCCGCCCACCGCCGCCTCTTGCCGTCCTTTGCCGCCACCTACCGCCTGCCTTTCTCCGCCGCCCGCCGGCCAACGCTCGCCGGTCGCCTCCCGCCCGCTGGCCGCCTCTTGTCGTCGACCACTGTCCTCCGCCGCTCGACGCTTGTCGCCACCAGCCACTGGTCGTCGTCCTCCACCGCTGGCCGCCGTGCTCCATCGCCCAACGTCGGCCGCCACCCGGCGCTGGCCGCCCCCCCTGCCAACCACCCGACGCTGACGATCACCCACCATCGGTCGCCGTCCTCCGCCGTCGGCGGCCACCCACCACCGGCCGCCATCCTTCGCCGCCGGCCATTGTGCTCCACCGCCCGACGCCGGGCACCACCCGGTGCTGGCTGCCCTCGGCCACCTCCCGCCCCTGGCCACCCGACGCCGACGGTCACCCACCATCGGCTGCCATCCTTCGCAACCGGCCGCCATGCTCCATCGACCGACGATGGCCACCCTTAGCCGCCAGCCACCTCCCACCGCCGCCGCCGCCCCCCGCTGCTGTCACCGCCGCCCAACGCCACCGTGCTCGCCGCCACGACCGCCGTGCTCCACCGCTTCCCGCCGCCGGCCGCCATCCTCTCGCCGCCAACCACCGTCCTCCCCCCCCCCCCCCGGTAGCCCAGAAGGGAGAAACTCGTCCATGGAATAGAAATGGATCATTCGCACCCTAAACGCGTTTCTATTCTTCTTCTATTCCAGGAATAGAAATTTTGTGTAGTTACTAAACGCTATTTTTTGCTCAGAAACTGTTTCAAGAAATAGAAATAGAAAAAACTATTTCTGATCAAAAATTGTTTCTGGGAACAGAAACGTTGCTATGCAGACCCTAAGTGTACCGGGTGAACATAATGCCATGCCTTGAATTTTCCTTGTACTTCATCGGTTCCAAACTTTTGGACTTTGAAACCTATCTTGCGACCTTTAATACTCACCCCAAGACCTATTCATTATGCCAGTTGCCTAGGTTCTCTCACACACCCTTATGTATAATGTTGAATCTAATCATGACTCACTTAAAACAACCCAATTCACAACTCAAATCTGTATCGACCCAAACACAAATCCAATTCAACCTTTTTAATTGCTAGGCCTATATGCAGATAAAAAAACTAGTCCATTCATCACTTCATGGATGGTTGGGTTCGGATATATCGTAGCGAGGAAATTTCACTACAGGTCCTAAATCTATGTACAAAATGCATTTGAGTCTTGAACATCTCAATTAGTCTAATAAGTTATAAACTTTTACCAAAAAGTGAAATTGTATCTCAAACTTTTCAATCGGTTTGCTTAAATCCTAAATCTTTATTGAAAATACAATTAAGTCCTGAAATCTATGTTGAAAATTGCAATTTAAGGATGCCATTTGGCAAATTTGGAGTGACACCTAGACAATTTTAGGTATTATTCATTGAAATGACTTAAATGCACTTTTTGGAAAAAAAAAAAAAAGTCTAGGACTTAATTGAATCAATTGAAAATTGTAGGACTTGAATGCGTTCTGTAAATATGGTTTAAGACTTACAATATTCTCATGGTAGTTTGTTAGCACCACCTATGAATAGCGATTATTTTTTCCATTAGTCAGGATAGAGTAAAAATTCTTAATTATCAATTCTTTATTTATGTTATGTCCATTATATTAAGAAGATTGCGCATTAGGTCATATGGCTGTCCTACTTTAACACGACATCTAACTTAACCGAGTAGAGAATGCAACAATTTGGAAATCATATATTTCACATAACCAATATAAATGTGTAAAATTTTATTGAAAAAAAAAATTGATGCAGATTAGATACAATCTTCATCGAATTCAATTGTGCTCAATACATAATATTTTTGAATTATATTATAGTTTAAATATTTAAATAGATGCATATCTGATAAAATTCTTGCTGATTATTATTATAGTTAAAACATGATGGAGAACATGTCAAGTAAATCAATTTTTTTTAGTACGACTTGTTTAGAATATGCTCGTTTTCTTTTATCTGAGAATATGCTTGTTAATCGTGAACAACTTTGTGACCGGATGAGCTAGTCATCCGGTTTCCGAGAAAGGTCCTTATGGTCCATGAAGGTCCGATACTCTCCTTAATGAGAACGGACCATCTCGCAAGCATTTCTCATTTTTCCAATGAACTAAAATCCAAGGAAATTGACAAAATTTAATTTTGATTTGAGATGAAATATTTTGATGGCCCATGGTTCATGTATGCTCATTTGACAATGCTTTCCTTTTTCGGTTTCCTGTCAATAAGGTTATTGCTGGATAATTTTCCGGCAGTTTTCGCGAAATGGGAAGGATTTCCCTCATGTCATTATTGGAATTATATTCACGAGCTAGATAAATCAACTAAATAAGTGTGCATATACATATACACACATAAACGTATATATAAATGTATATATTTCTTAATATTAGTTTGCAAGTCAAAGATGGATATTCCTACAGAAATTGTCAGTACCTGTGTAAGAATGTAGACAGTCTTATGTTTAAATATATCAGGTTGATCCGAAAGAAACTTTATTTCATGCATGCAACTATTCTGGTGTCTGCTCGCTCATTTCTTTTCTTTGTTCACTCGTCTCAGACGACTGACACGAACGCCGCCACGCTGGTGTGGGCAATGACGGCGCTAAAGAAGAACCCCGGAGTCATGAACAAGGCTCAGCACGAAATAAGATCGGTGGTCGGAAACAAAGGTTTCGTGGATGAAGACGACCTCCACAGCCTTCCATATCTCAAAGCCGTGGTCAAGGAGACGCTGAGACTTTACCCACCAGCTCCATTGCTGCTCGCCAGAGAAACGACCCAAAGCTGCATTCTAAGTGGGTATGAGATAGGACCGAAAGCCCTAGTTTACATCAATGCATGGGCCATTGGGAGAGACAGCGAGTGCCGGGAAAGTGCAGAGGAGTTTTGGCCCGAGAGGTTCTTGGGAAGAGATGTGGATTTGAGAGGGCAAAGCTTTGAGCTCCTGCCTTTTGGTGGTGGAAGGAGAGCGTGCCCGGGGGTGAGTTTTGCAGCTGTGACTCTGGAGTTGGCGCTTGCCAATTTGCTATACTCGTTTGAGTGGGAACTTCCTGAGGGAATGGAGGAGGAGGACGTCGACACGGAGGCCATGCCTGGACTTACCATGCACAAGAAAATCCCACTTTGCCCGAGAGCCAAGATCAAGAATGATGCTTAATAAGGATGCTTGGTGTCCAATGTTTTTCTGTTTGATATATACATATCTCAATCTAGAGAGATACAGAGAGAGAGAGAGAGAGAGAGAGAGAGAGAGAGAGAGAGAGAGAGAGAGAGAGAGAGAGAGAGAGAGAGAGAGAGTATGTAACCTTTTGTTTTGGATTGTGTTGGATTTTTATTTCTCCCTTTGGTGCATTTTTCATTGTTATCCTAATAATCGGACTATAGGGGTCCGTTTGTTTGCAGAATATTAAATTCCAAGAAAATGCTTTCATCCTTTTCTGGTGTTTAATGCTGGAAAATTCATTCATCAGGGGAAAATGACTTCCTATCTTTGACAAACGGAAATCAATTTCCACTCTCCCATGGCATCCAATTGTTCAACACCGTCTATCTTCTCTGTTTTGCTGACCTCACGCACCATGGCGAGTGTCCTGGTATCTTTTGACCCAGGTATGAGATGATTTTCTCCCGGACTTCCATCTTCTGCCTCTCGATCTCCTCCTTGACCCTGAAGGTGGACAGAGCCAATCTCGGCATCTCCCCGTCCTCGTCGGAAATGGACAGGTTGCCCCTGAAGCTCAAACTCCTTGACAGAGCTTGTTTCCGATGGTGGACCTTGATGCGATGTCATGCCTCAGCCAGCGATGTTGAGCCATGGATGCTGAGCCTAAGCCTCGGCCAGGGTTGCCAGTGTTGAGCTGTCCTGCCTCTATTTTTTCTGTTTGAACTTGGAGTCAAGCTATGCCTTGGCCATAGACGCCAAGACTCACCTCTAGATTTGGCGGTGGCGACTCGACCATGGCTGTGGGATTTGATGGTGAGATTGTGCGACGTCATCGTGCGCAGAAATTGAAAATGAAAAATCTTGGAGGGCGCAAGATGGGAAAGAAGGTAGAGCAGTGACAGCGGTTGGCGTCTGCGCGTCCTAAGATGCAGCAGTGGCCGATCTTGAGCATTGCCTTGGCAGCTTCGACAGTGGTGATGGCGAGCCGAGGTTGGCATTTGGGCATGGAGTTGGCTAACGGAAGGAAGAGTGAAAGAGAGAGGGGAGGGAGGAAAATATGGAAAAAGTGGCAAGTAAAATGACACGTTTGCCACCTGCTTGGTCTTCATAATTAGGTTTTTTTTTTTTTTGTCGAACTCCATAATTAGGTTTAAGAATCCAAGATTAACTTTTTCTTACTTCCCTAATTCAGGGGTTCATCGTTTTATTTGGTCCATTGGATGACGGAAGTTTTTGTCCATATTGTGTAGAGAAAGTCTTACGAATTAGGTTGCTGGTTTCAATCGAATGAAAAAAAAATGATGAAAAATCATAAGAGAAAAAAATAAATTATTCACAACATATAAACTACTTATCGTATAAAATTTAATTTAATCAAACTTTATCTAAAGTTTGATAATATAACATGTATATCACACGAATAATGCCCATCTTCTTACGAAAATAAAAAGCAATTTTTCTCTTTCTAAACTACACTAGAAATTGTCTGATTTCAATCAAACATTGAAAAATAAAACTATTTTTCTAAAAATTAATTTCTTAGAAAACATTTTCCAGGAGTATCAAATTTCCGCGAAACAAACAAACCTTCAACCAACCATGCGATGTCTGAATTTCTGTTCCTACTCACTCAAGAAAATACACAACTAGAACTCGAGCAACTATCAACAAACCATCAACCCCCAAACCAAGTACCGAGAAACAAGCCCAAACATTTCGAAAGACGCAGTAGCTACACCATAATCACAAACAAGGTGAAGGGTTTTTGGGTTACGGTCTGAATACTTTTGGTCTCCCATTTCAGATCCGAACGTGGAATAGAGTGCATCACAAAATGTAACGGAGATCAATGACAGCAGCCAAAGTGTAAAATTTCCTTAAAGAAAGTATTGTGTTATGACTATTTGCTCAAAATCAGCACAGGTCTTTCACATTCTCGACCCTCGCGAGGAATAATTGATCATCTGGGACTCGATTCTCTCCAGTAAGCAAATAGCAGATTGCCGATGGATAAATAAACAAGAATGCAAGTACTTGGCCAAAGCTAGAAAAGAATAGCACACCTCTCTCATGAATGAGAGACAAAAACAGCCACTTTGCTAAAATGGAGTGCACGGCTTACAATTTCCTAGGCCTGCCCCGCTTTCCTGGTTTTGCTCCTGATTTCGCTCGACTCCTCCCAGCACTTTTTCCCCCAGTTTTAGCCCCACCGCGACCTCTACTAGGAGCCTTCCCACCGCGTCGACGTTTTGGATTGCTCCGACCATTCTCCTGATCACTATCATCAGAATAATCATCAGCCTCAGCTTCATCTTCAGAGGCTGAGTCTTCTTTTTTTGACTTGTTCCTCTTGCCAGTCGCTTTAGCAGCTCTTTTACTGCTGGTCTGCTTGGCTAGTGCTGTTTTATTCTCGGGTTCCTCACTTCCTATGAAATAAACTAATAAATTAGCAGGCTTGAGTGCTGCAGATTCCCAGGATGCTGACAATAGTTAGATCAAAGACAGAAATATTTTATGAGCTCAGTTTCGCATGAAAATTGAACCAGCGTACGTGAAGTAGATGTGACTACTTCAACTCCGTTTTGGTCACATCTGTAAACTGAAATCTCATTGCAGTGCACTATAATGACCATATTTAACAGACGGAACCCTGTTGTTCGCAAATCAGCATATACCTTCAGCAGCAGCTTTGCCATCATATATGTCCAGCTGCGAAAGTGGAGAAATTAGATGGTTTTAGTTATGCAGTTATCAGCAACAGTTAACAAAGCAGCAGCAGCAGAACAAGATAAAATAAAAAAAAATTCATCTTTCTACTGTCTCGTTTGACTCAGAGCCTTTTTGAATTGATTTGATGACCATGGTTTACAAACTTTGCACACAGAGACTTCTAAACAACTAGTCTCGAGGAGGCAGCTAAAAGTACCTCTTCTCTGCCACCTCTTATACTTTGGTTTTCTCTACTGTCTTAGCTTCTGGAAGGAACCATTACGAACTGACGATGAAAGCCATGTGCGAGGCTTCCCTAGCTTCCAGCCTCCACAACAGGCTCCGGGTATCTTAATTTATGAAGGGAGGGGGGACAGTAATATTTCTACAAGCCATACTAGATCAAAACTGAAGATTTCAAGCATGCATCATTTGTACATGATCAATCGAACCAACTTAAACGAATAAAATACAATAGTCCAGCCGCCCCAAGAAAAGGCATAAAAATAACTCTTTCCAGGTTCAGAGAATCCAGATACCTCATCCAGACGATCGCTGATGTTTGCTCGATCAACTATAACCATTGAATGGCCCATACCACATGCAACGCTACAACAAAAGGATTATCTATCATCAGATCATAGGCAAAATGGATATAATGCGGATCCTTCCTTATTTGCCTTAGCGAATTGAGTAAAAAGAAAGGCTTTCCCATTTTTTTAGGTTATACACCCTTAAAAAAGCGGCGGTTCCAAAGATGTTTGCCAAATAATATCCATTGCAAAAATTACAGATATAAGATCAACACAGTTTCGAAAGAATAAATGCACAAGCAATATAGGTCTCTCTACTCACCCAATGACGTGCATTCCCTCCAGTATGTCCACCTTCTTGGGAACAGCAGAAGATCTAAAGAATATTCATAATTGCCGATCAGCATTTGAGAGGAAAAACTAAAGTTGTGAGGAGAGACAGAACGTACTTCTGTCCGTTGGGGCCATATCCAAGCTCTCCATATTGAGCATGGCCCCAACTTATGCAGGATGCATCAGCACCGACAAAGTAATGCATATTACCAGAATCCATGCAGCGTATATTCCAACCACTGAAAGAAACAAGAGTTAAAATTAATATAACATGGCAGCCATAAATACATAAAAATCCTTCCACATCAAGGTGCTTCTAATTATTCATTATGATGTCATAATCCGTAATTATCATTATGATGTTATATTCCGTAAACACTGGGGAGCTTTAAAAAAGCACTCATGAGGCAAGCTAGAACTCCATAAATCAAGCACAATTTCCTCGATTGCATCTCAACCCATTTACTTCCCTTTCCAATAAGAGAAAAGAAGAATCATGAGGCAAGATAATTAATAGTCTAGGAAACAGAAGCAATGATGTAGAAGATTGTGGATGACCGAATCAGTCAGCTAAGCACACACCGTAAAATCAAAAAGAAATAATTTCCTTCCACCATCTACATAATTAGGCGAGTACATGATGAACAGAACCTCAAGCTCCTAAAGTAAGTGCAAATAAAAAGGCAAAATTACGAAGATGAAGTGAAATGGCAAAGAAAAGAACCTCAAATCCATAAGTGGTTTAGGATACATCCAATCATCACCCGTATTCTTTATTTTTCCCCACATATATAACTGTCCTCCACCTGAAAAAAGAAAAAGGAGTTATATAAAAATTTGCAGAAGTTGCAGATTGATGAACATAAATATAGATGCATCTTACACTTTGTCTAAATCATTTTAAAAAAATGGCATCTAATAGAAGTGTATTCATTTTATGAAAAAAATTGACTTTGGTTTTAAGGGCCCTCATAATAGGAGTGGACATTATACTCATGTTAAGTTACAAATTCTGTTCCCGGAAAACAGCCTACAAAACATGAAAATAACACTTGCACCTAAAAGGTAGTAAATATTTAGGGCACTATCATGAGATGTGCCCTTCTCCAGAGCTAACGAGATAATAGTTTGAGAAATTTGATTATAATAAAATGACAAGTCTGATGGAAAGGGAGGTTCGACTAGAAATGGATCGATCGGCAACTAATTAAGAATCTGTACTTTTACTGGGAGCAACTTTTCTATGAAAGCTTAGCTCTGCTTCTCTGGACGGTAGTTTATGGCCTAGCTGTGCTTGGAAAACGAAGCATAACAAGGTTGTATTAGAAGTAAACTCCAAAACTATTCTACAAATTATAAATGGGGAGATAATCAGGGAAGCTGACAGCAACTGCAGTCTGATGTATCCATCCATGAGCTTCTACAGTGGAATTGGCATGTGAAAGTGCTTCGCACTTAAAGAGAGGGAAATATGTGTGCCCCTAGGTTGGAGAATTAAACAATTTCAAATACAATTGAATTTTCTAATTTATCTGAACACCCTAGATGTCTTAGAAGCCTACTGCTAGGACTTAGAGTTGGTACGCACATACCTACACAGATTTCATATTACTTCGCTTTTATCAATAAATTATGTTTAAGCCCCAGGAATTAGCCCAAAAGAAAAGAATGAAGCTATTGACAATGTCAAAAAGTAATATACTAAAGTGACTGCAACGAACTGGCCAATCAGTATGGCCAAGAAAAAAAGAATCAGTAAATCATCTTACAACTCCAAACTAATAATCTGAGATTAAACTATACACCATTCAATCAATCACCACATCTTCCAAAAGAATATTGAAGTATTAAAAAGCAGAAAGTACAATCACATTCCAAAGAGTCCCTTTATCTGACTTACTTTTGGCCAAATCCCAGTGTCCTACTTTATTCATGCAGATTATGCTACTCTGTAATGGGGAATCAATAGAAGTGCTAGTGTACAACAGCTGGATGTGAATGACAATATTAATATTCTAAAAGAGGCATTAGATGCTGAAAATGGACATGACACCTTAGGGCCTGTTTGGTTAAGCCTTTTAAAGCAAAAAACAACCTTTTGCTTCCCTACCAAAAAGCAAATATTATCTAAATTTTAAAAAATCATAAAAAAACTTATATGTGAGTCTAGGTGTCAATATTTGTACGTTGTGAAAGTTTCAGGTGTTCCAGGTCAAGAAAAAGTCAAAGTGCATAAATCACAAAAGTTTAGATCAAGCAAAAAGCAAAAGGTAAAAGTTTATCCGCACACTCCCTTAGTCAATTCAGTAGATTGTCCCAAATTACATATCCTCTTTATTAAAGTCCAAAGTACAGACAACCAATCAAACGGCTAAATCCAGCTCCAAGTTCTGATAGAATCCACAAAGCCAATATGTTGTATGACCAATGAAATACTAGCTTGATTATCCAATTTAAAGGGAAAAAATGCAAATAAGTACCTGCAGTACAAGCTGAATTAACAGAACCCGCAGAAATTACAGCATCAGGAGGCAAGACATTATGCTTCTGGAAAATATCAACACGACGAGGGAGCCACTCATCCTTCTGCTCTCTGTGCCCAAGCCTACAAGACAGCAGTTAGATGAGCGTTGACCAACAAAAGGCAATCTTCCAACAGAAAAGGTTAAGCTCGCAAAATAATTAAAGGAACCAACCTGCCATAACCACCAAAGCCCCACCTAAACAAATTCAACCACAAGTTACTCTCGATATTGTAGATATTAAACATAATGGTAAAAGATAGAGATACAAGTGATGCATACGTGTAAACATAGCCTTTTGAGTCTACAGCCACTGGAATCCCCAGAACGGACATGGTAAAAGAAAACTTGGTTAGAGAATTAAGATCTATTATCAAAATGTGCATCGCATCAACAAGTTTGTTAAAATCAAAATGCACATCACATAACAAACTAGCATAAGAATGTGTCATCTGTGCGCATGCAAGGGGGAAGGAAAGAGACTTAACACTACCTGTGTGGTTTGTTCCACAAGCGACTTTGACAATCTTTTCCCCAGCCAGAGCGACTATTGCCTTTGGGCGCGGTTGGGCTTCATAAGCCAATTTCACAGAGCTATCTTTAGTATTATACTGCACATGCAAGCATGGGCAACATCAAGCAATAAGTCATTGTGTAAAGGGTAAAGAATGAAGTCACTAACCAAGCATCAACTTAGATTTACAGTCCCTGATAATGAACGATACAAATTGTTGGTTATGATTGGAATTTCCGCCACCATTAGACACTTTAAATAGGATTGACAGTACAACTACACTGTTCTCTTCTAACTATGTTTCACCACAGAAGCAGGAGATTCTTCAAAGAAGGTATCACCAAACAGAAAAATCAGATCCTTTTAGTTACCTCATTGTCAGTTCCATGTCCAAGTTGACCATATTGGGGAAGGCCTGCAGTTCTAAAATCCGAAAAGATCAAGACCTACTTCTAAATATTGAAAATCACAAAGGTAAGGATACCCATTCAAGATATTCAACAAACCCTACAATATAGAAGCTCCTTCTACAGAAGATAACCAAACAGTGAAATCCGCCCCACAAGCAGTAGTTTTAACCTCAGTCACAAGACAACGAACAGGGGATGCTTCAATTTCTACAAAGAGAGAGCAGCAAAGAACAGATTCCTGTCAATTTAACAACAAGAACTCGTGGAAAGTTTTCGAACAAACTTGAAAATACAAGATAATAAAGAAAAAGCAACAACCATGATGCTTTTAAGGCTTTCTCATCTTCCTCCTCAACAAGAATATATTCACGCAATTTATGAACATCATATTCTTCCTTTCCATCAGACTTGCATATCCTCCACAAGGCTACTCACAGCATGAACGTTTATTGAAAAATAATAAAAAATACATATTTATATACAATATTGTGGTTAATATCTATCTTACAAATTTATCCATATGCATTAAAGAACTAACTTCCGATGAATTCAACTAAGTATAACCGTAAAAGGTATTCTTGAGAAGGAAAAACAATTCATCAAGTAAAACTATGAGCTTGCTCCATGTAGTTAAGCCACATAAAGCAGATAGAGACTCTATAAATTCATGCCTTGCCTCTTCCAAAGTTTAACTCTAGATCTCAAAACCTAAGAACAAAATGGCATTACAATCGCAACCATTAAAACAGGCAATGAGTAAGATTCTTCCCCAAAGGCATGAAGTTTCAATTAATCGAGATTCCTCTATAGCATCTGGTCTAAGGTGGAGACACTTTTTGGGTAGGCTCAGAAGCAGGTAACTACGGACACAGATCAATATTCCAAGATCCAAGATTTCTTCAAGAAAAAATCAGCACATACGAGAACCAAATTAACCAGTATTCTAATGCCACAGCCAAAAGAAAACAGAATACAGACTAACTCTAACTGTGTTAGCACAGTGAAACTCTGGCACCACACTCTACAAGTGAGAGTCCTCCTAAAGGGGGAAGACACCACATGCAAACTTCAGAGAAGTCCACATGAAGTGAAGTATAACGAAGGAAGAATCATCAGAAGCACACCTTTTGTCATAATACAGGTCACAACCATAATCAAGATGCAGGGGAAGTTTTAATAACATAGAGACGATCTCCTTACATAAACAGAATCGATAGGGGATTCTTTATCTCCCCTTTCCTCATCATTCCAATTCATTAATATAGATGAATTATCCCCTCCCAAATGACCCATATCCCCTAACACAATATAACAATGCTTATACTAAAAAATGAAAACAACACAGAGAGTGTAGGTTTCACAACATTAACTGTGTTTATAACCAAAAATCGAAAGAACTTCCTCTTTACATAGCGAAGATTTTACTAGTTTACAAACTCAATGAATATTCAACAAAGATAATTGTCTAATCTTATTTCAAAGTGGGGATACAATAGCCTACCATTTCGCACAGAACCAGATCCCAGCTGTCCATGTTTATTCAAGCCGAAAGCAAGTGAATTTCCATCATCCGTAACCAAAACAGTATGGTTCCTTCCTGAACCGGCTTTAACAATATTGTACCTTCAACATAAGGACTTTCACAATTTAGACAGACAGAAAGTGACTGATAAAGTGTCAGTATTGCTCCACGTAGTAGGGAACATGACAGAAAGGAATATACTAGAAACTTCCTCGCCACTCACAAAAAACTTTGCAAACTCATTTCATGGCTCTCATAGGTCTTTATTGACATCTGTTTAACATAAGTTACCTAGTTCGCTAAATTCGCTAGGTTAACTTCCAGTTCATCTCACATAACAGATGCGATAAACCAGGGGATAATCAGAAGAACCCATTCACCTTCCCTGAAAATTTCAAAATAACCAATACCCAAATTCACACAACTAGTCAGGAAAGCCATAAATTATGAAACTATGAGCTCAAATATTTTTCTTTTCAATTTATAAACGGCTAAGACAAGAAGTCGTCGGTATTTAAACACTTGTTTTAAAAATATCTACACTACTTATGAAAAGCTATATTACATACATTCAATATGGCAGAATCACCCACGACTTTGACTGGTTAAACATCCTTACGCCGAATTCCTATTCCTCCAAATTTATCACGAACAGAAGTTTACAAAAAGCAGTTTCAGAAGCGCACGCTTCCCAATTCATGAAGAAAGGGTTTAGCTGTTGCTAAGGGATGTTAAATATTACCAACCTAAAACAGGCAGCCTTTACAGGTTCGACTAATATCAAGGATTCAAGCAGCCCAAAAATATATGCCATTACTAATATTCAAGACAGCGAACTTTCACGGCTCCAACAACTAATTTGCCTCAAATATGTCAAATGAAACGGCAAAAGGGACTCTGCAAAACTAAACCAAAAACTCGTTAAAGAAGATGGCACACTTTTTAAGTTCAGACACGACTGTTGGTCGATCACGCTGAATGGTATCTCCATGACCTAGCTGCCCTTTCTGCAAAACCGAGCTCCCGATTCATCAATGACAAACAGCCAAAACTACCACGAACCACATATGTCTAACAAAGTATAGGACTAACGTGCCTCATTTCGACCCCACGTGTAGCACCTTCCCTCGACATCTAAGGCCACGCAGTGACAAGATGCTGCACAAACGTCCGACAACAAGGCATCAGAACCTGCTCGGAGAAACCAAAATGCCAAAATGTTCTTGGAGCAGCAATAAAACTCCAAGGCAAACGAGAAACCAAACTCAGTAACTACCACCGGCGACCGACAACTAACAACATCCAACTCAAAGACCAGGCATAAACAAGATTGAACTTCACAGACCCCGCATCGCGGAGCTTCAAAGGTCAAAACTTAACTGCTTCCGGAGGCGACGAGACGGATATTGATGCCGACGAGAGGACGAAGCCGAGTGGGCGAGACCAAGTTGCCATCCACAGAGCCCTTCTTCCGACCGAGGCTGTCCCAGGACGTGCCCCCGCAGAAGAGCAGCTCCCCCGCTCTCTCCTCCGCTCCCGCCCCCGCCTTCTTCTCCTCCGCCGCCGCAGCCGCAGCCGCAGCCGTAGCCGACGACATTCCTCCTCCGCGTCCGGCTTCCCCGCTCGAAGAGCTCCCGGAAAGAAGAAAAACCACGAGGCGGGGGGACGATCCAACGGCTAGAATTTGAAATCTGGCCGATCGACGGCCGGGGGGCCGGGCCCAAATTGGCGGGAAAGGAGGGGCGGGTAACGGCTAGTAACGGCGGATCGGTGGCGATTCGGGGAGTTCCTTCCGCGACCGAGAGGAGGAAGAAGACGGATGGATGGAGATGGAGGAAGAAGAAGAAGAGGATGATGGAACCCTAATTCAAAAAAAAAAAAGAAGAATAAGAAAAAGCAACCGGCGAACAGAAAAATGGGGGAGATAAAAAAGCGATCGCTTGGGGTGTTTCCGACTTACGAGAATAGGTGAGGCCTCGCTCTCTCGTATTAGTTAAAGCCGAAATAAATAAATAAACAAACAAACAAATAAATAAATGAATAGGAGAGAGAGTATGTGTCTGTGTGAAGCAGCAGGATATACCCAAGTTGCTTTATTATACTTTTAATATCTTTTCTGTGTAAAAAATCTTTCACTTTCCCCCCGCCCCCCCCCTATTATTTTTTTAGTTTTCATTATTGTCGTTTGTTACTTTCCTCCGTCACGTTATTTTGTCCTTTTGTACTTGTTGTTTAGGGGTTTTTGTAGCCTGTTGTCGAACTCAAAGTCAGTCGTGCTTGATACTTGAAATTAGACTCAGAGCTCGAGTCGACTCGATTGCAATTAACTTGTCAATAATACCGGAGCTCGATAAGCTTGTTCACTTTGTGCTTATTTTGTGGTTACAGGCATTTTTTAGGAAAAAATAATGAAAGTTTTATTAGATTATGAATATATCGAGTTGAGCATTGACAAGTTTAAGTGAAACTTGAGTTTGACTCGACAAAACACTCGTGTAGGCTTGAGCTTGGGCTCTAACTCGAATTGAGCACATCAATCTCAAGTTTGAACCGAACCTCAACCACTAGCGGACAGCATGCTCCATTGCACAACTAGTTAATTATCTTTAGATTTTTCTCTCTTTCGTTCTTGTCCAGATTGCCATCAAACACCTCTAAAGATTTTAAGGTACATCAGTATACTGTACCACTTCATCTTTTACGACTCTTTGCCAACTGATTACAACTAATCATCCTAATATGGAGGGAAAGCAAAAGAAGATTAATGCTACCCTCCCTAAATTTTACTAAGAAATCTATACTAAGACTCTGTTCATTTCACGTAAAATGTGATATTTTTTGAAAAATATTTTTCAGAAAGTTATTTTTCAAGAAAATGACAATATTTTTCGATGTTTGGTTAAGATCTGAAAATAAATTGGAAAATATTTTTTGTCATTCGGTATGAAAAATCTGATTTGATTTTCCTCTTTACACTTCTTTTAATAATTATTTTATTTTATTTTTAAAAATTCAAAATTTTAATTTTTTTTATATTTCTTTTCTTTTCTTTTCTCTTTTTTTTTTTCTTTCTTCCTCTGCTAGCCACAGCGATGATTGGTGACCAATAGAGAAAAGAAGAAAAGAAAAGAAAAAAAAAATAGAAAAGTATAAAAAATAAAAAATAATAATTAAAAAGAAAAGGAATGCGAAGGAGTGTAGAGAGAAAAGAGGAGGGAAAATGATTTCCTCTCTTTTAAAAGAAGAAATCATTTTTCCCACTTTTGAAAGTGTTTTTTCCATTAAGAGAAAATGTTTTCCTTAAGTAGTTTATCGTAAACCGAACGCTAGAAAATTAGGAAAATATTTCCTAAAAGTTATTTTCCACGAAACGAACATCGCTTTAGGATGCGTTTGTTTCAAGGAAAACATATCATTTTTGGAAAATTCTTTTTAGGAAGTCATTTTCCAGGAAAAGGAGTTCATTTTTCAGTGTTTGGCTAAAACCTAAAAAGGACTTGAAAAATATTTTAAGTTGTTTAGTAAGGAAAATCTGATGGTGAAAATTATAAAAAATTATATTAAATTATTTCCGATTGCTGGCCTCAGAAAGAAAAGAAAAAGAAAAAAAAAGAAAGAAAAGACATTAGCAAATTCAAGATGAGCGATTCCGGAAAGTGTTTTCACCTTCTTAGATTTAGGGAATTCACTTTCCTAATTTTATACATGAATGTTTTCATTGACCGGAAAGTATTTTCGGTTGACTTACCATTTTCGGCAAACCAAATGGGTGAAAACGTATTCCCGGAAAACACATTTCCTCAAACAAATGCATCCTAAGTGTTCATTCTACTTCCTCTAGTTTTGATCATCAATAAGCACATATTTTTGTATTGATTATTCTGTGTATTTCTTGTAGAATAGCAACTTCATCATAAATAAAGTGTATCAGATGTGTTGGGCAAGCTGAAGGTTAGTATGCTCGAACCTAGTTAAATCGTACATAGTTTGGCCTATCGCATGATTTTATTAAATTAGACCAATGATTATGCTGAGATGATGATTGTTAGTTTAAGTTAATGTATATTTAGCAACTTCATCATCAATGATCGTGACCTTTGCCTATTCTTTGGTTTTTATGATTTTTTGTGTCCAAAATCTCGAGATGTGTTCTTCATAGAAGTTGGAGGCAAGATCTTAAGCTTTTTAATGCTATCAATTTCATTAAAATTGAAACTCGTTTGGTCGTTCAAAGATCTGATCAATGTTCTGATCTATTTCCACACTCAGATTTGGGAATTTGCTTCTTTAAAACGTCCGAACGTGTTTAGCAATTTTAGTGAACTTGAAGTCCTTTTTTGTCTAAAACCTCAAAACTAAAAAGTTGTTCTTTGGGGTCTTATTTTGTAAAGTGGAAAGTTTGAGGACTTAATAGAAAATTTTAAAAAGCCAAATTTTTAACAAATCAGATAAGGTCGGTCTGGCCTTCAAAACTGTTCTCAATTGAGTCTTGGGGAAAAATCGAATTACTGGGAAAAATCAGGGGGTCTTCAGCAAAAAGTCAAAACACAAAAGTTGATAAGAACACATTCTCCTAACTTCTTGTAAAATTTCACACGGTTTTGCCCAAGTTTGCTATTTTTACCAAATTTACATCTCACGGGTTATAATCTGTTCGTAATTGAACTGTCAGACCAATTTGCTTAATTTTGGGTTTTTTGGCTTAAAACCGGGTCGAATGATCTACTTGAACTTTGATTGATATGAACTTTGTTGATTGCTTTCATTTGAGTGATTACATGAATGAAAAAACGACACCATTGATGATGGCCATGCGAGGCGGTCCATGGAGTTGGTCAAGGCTCACAAAGACGGTGGCAAAAGACCAATGTTCTATACGATCTTGAAATCGTAATAGCTGTGGCATCCTGGTCGTCTCCAGTTGACGAAATCGGTACTTATTTCCATCTGTACCTTTTGGATGCAAATGTTTTTACTTCCAAAGCAAATTATATATGAAATTGAAAAGAAGATTAGACATTTTTTGTGGGTTGGAAATACAGAAGGCCACGGATCACACAAAGTTGCTTGGGAAGTTGTTTGTTCGCCAAAAAAGGAAGGAGGTCTAGGGTTGCCTCATCTAAAATTATGGAACAAAGTTTTGCTTGGCCGTATGCTTTGGAACCTCATAAATTGTCCGTCATCTTCCTTGTGGAGTAAATGGGTCCATAGTACCAAGTGTAGAGGCAATTTGATTATGCAGCTTGAAATAAAGGGTTCTATGGCATGGAGTTGGCGTTGTATTCTTCAACTAAGACCGGCTTTAGCTTCAATCATATCTAGACCAAGATATTGTTGCCAAGAGGTATACGATGAAACCAGAAATGTAAGACCGGCTGTGGAATGGTCCCAATTGATCTGGAAAGGAGGTATTAGCAAGCATAACTTCATCGGCTGGCTAGTTTGTAGAGATAGACTACAAACAGCAGAAATCATATCACGTTAGAAGCCTGAAGTAGATATTCATTGCAATTTTTGTATGTCTGGTCTTGAAAGCAGAGACCATCTATTCTTCCAGTGCACCTGGACCGGAAGCATTTGGCGCACTATTCTTGCACAATACGGAATTCGACGCCCTGTAGAAGGATGGAATGATGAACTTAAATGGATGATCAATACTACAAAAGGTAAGGACTTGGCGGCGAGACTTCTGAAGGTATCTTTCCTAGCGATCATATACTGCATTTGGATGGAGCGTAATCGTAGACGCTTCCAACAAAAGTCAAATGACGCCCTTATCATTTTGGCTAAAGTTCGCAAACTTGTTAGAGGGCGAGCTTCGCACTATAAATCTTTTAGACTGTCTCGAACAAATGAAACTTTGGCTACTATATGGAGACTCCCCCACTCCATTTTTTTGTAATCTTAGTTCTATTTGTAATGCTGGGGAATGCCTCTAAGCTTCTGTACGTCATCTTATACATACTACTTACATTTACACCAAAAAAAAAAAAATTTCATGGCCAAAGATTAAAGGACCCTAATGGATTAGAACGCTCGTCGATGGAAATTAAGAAAATGAAATTGGAAGTTTAACGTCACCATTATCGTTTTTGGAATCGCGAGTTTGGACTTTTAGGATCAATTACCGTCGAGCCGACTAATTCGACGTCGCGTCGTCTGCGCGACTCGACTCCGTGCCAACCCATCGCTGTCATTTTTTTTCCCTATCCTTTCTCTTGCTCACGCCGGAACACCACCTCACCGACCGCCCCCCTCTCTTCTTCCTTTTTCCTTCCTTTTCTTCCCTTTTCTTTTTCTTTCCCCTTTTTTCCCGCCGGGAACCCCACGCCAGCAGCAGCCCTTCCACTTCTCTTCTTTGTCTTCTTCTTCCCCCTCTACACTTGGCAAGAGGGAGGTGCCAAGTGTCACCCATGCATGCCCATGCATGCAAGGGAAGTTGAAGGGCCATCTGATAACCTTTTTCCCCCTCAGCTCACTCTCTCAGCTCTCTCTCACTTAGCTCTCTCTCGCCCAGCTCACTCTCTCTCTCGTCTCTCTCTCTATCCGCCAGAAACCGGCCACTCCATCCGTGACTAGCAGCAGCCGGCAGTCTTGTCCCTGCACGCCAGCAATAGCCAGCCTCTTGCCCTTTCCAGCCACGCCTTCAACCGACCAGCAGCAGCCTAGGAATCGCCCCTCACGCCCTCGTCTCCGCCTCGGACCAGCAGCCTCGCCGCGACCACCACTCTCACGGGCAAGTGCTCTCTATCACATTATACTAACCTCGATAATGGTTGCATGTCGATTTGGGTCTCGGATAAGTCCTTGAGTCGGCTGGATTGGCAATAGGAGAAACCGAGATGTTATAGCCGCTGCCCTTAAATGTTTGACTCCGTAGAACAAGCTTTGGTGGGTCTAGATTGCTAGATTAGGTTAGAAAAGGCATTGCATGTTGATTTGAGTTCCTGGC